TAAATTTCCCAATCAATGGGACCATTTAATTTAGAAGCTCTGCCGTGATAGGCGATTGTCACCCCCATATCCAGTAATACGTTGTCATATCCAGTAATACGTTGTCATTTCAATTTTCTAATTCTCATGCAATTGCCAATTTGCTTCTAAAATTTAATTATTAAAATTAAAACTACACATGCATACAGCAATTCTTGTGGTGCATGGCATAATATTATATGGCCTGGCCAAGTAAGACTAAGATTATGTATTTCTTTTCCCCTTGTTTTCTGTCTTTTTGCGATATCTACTGCCAAACCATGCAGATTAAAAAAAAAAATGTATTGCCTCTGTAGGCTGTACACAATAGTCTTTTTAAATAAATTCTTCTATTAAGCAAATTTTTTAATAAGCACTTGATCTAATCACAGTCTTCTCAAAATATATAATTTTCAAAAGTCATGCCTGGTGTCTGAATTTTGCAAATTTTACCAATTAAAAGAAGAGATGTTATTGAAATCAAATATTTCATGAAAATACAACTCACTTCAGCTCACGAAAGATCTAAAAACGGCTAAGCTCAAATAACTAATTGAGTTTTTTTAACTAAACGAGCCAATTCGACCTCAAACAACAAATTGAATTTGTTTTTTTTTTTTTTTTTTACAGGCNCAAACACAATACGCATGTTCGCATACGCACAAATTGAATTTGTGAACAACTTGAGTATATATAATTTTGAATTTGTCAAATGAGCCTAGCATTTGACTTGCTTTTTAAATGAGTAGGAACTCGAACACAAAAGTGTTCACATCAACTTGGCTTATATAGCACCCATATATATAGTGATAATTAATTTAATAATACTATGACATTTTCATTTGTTGTGTGCACCTGGTTTTTAGTGAAGACAATAGTGGCTGTTTTACTGTTGTAGAAAAATTGTGAAAAGAGCATAGATATTTGTTTTGTTTGAAGTTGGACACAACTACACAAGCAATGCACAGCAAAAAAACATAATAACAAAATGACATCACAATTTTTTTCCTAAATAAAAAACCAAGAAACCAAAACCAAGAAACTAACCTTACTATGTACTGTCAAACAAAACAATCTTTTTTCCCCCTTTCATTTTCCATCACATCAACAAAACTCCAAACCCAAACCCCAATTTTCCTCCCACTTCTCTTTTCAATTTTCTTTTTCAGTTTATCAGTAGTAACAGTAAAAACCCTTGTCATGACCATGACCCTGATTTTCACCGTCACCACCATGGTTAATAACATCACTAAGCAAAAAATTACTGCTTGCGAGCTCCTTGACTTGGGCCAGGTCACACTCTAAGGCCCTGTTTGGCAGAACACCGATATCCCCTGCACCAAATTCAGGATTATCACCCTTATCCCCAATCAAGATTGCACCTTTTTGGTAGTTTTCTGCAATAAAGCCCTGAAAATCAAGGCCCACCATTAGATCTTCTTGTTTAACAGCTTTCGGGCCGAAGCCCATTTTATTACAGCCGCTTCCCTCGGACGATGAGGTACAACTCTGTTCATTGTTCCCTCCAAAAACAAGCAAATTGCTGTTGTTGAAATTGGTACAATCTTGATTTTGCTGGAAAAAAGTGGTGGGCTGTGCAAAATCACCATTGTTGGGGGGCATGAAAGTTAGATTTTGGGTGTTCGACTGCAAATAGAATGGGGTGTGATGATAACTGTGATTTTGTGTCTGCAAGGTGGATAGAGGGTGATGAGGAAGTTGGGGCTGAAATGTAATTTGGGGTGAAAATGGGGGGTGTTGGATTAATTTGGAAATAGGATTATTGTTTATACCCATGATGAGTTTTTTCTTGAGCTTTGTGTTCCAGTAGTTCTTGATATCATTGTCAGTTCTCCCCGGTAATTGAGCTGCTATGATTGACCACCTGCATTTCATTTCATTGGTAAAAAATTATGTGACATAAATATTTTTTATGATTTTGTTTTGTAATATGTTTTTTATCTGCTTTCTTTTTAGCTTTTAATAATATAATAATAACAATAATGAAAAGAAAACAACAAGAAAAGCATGGAGTATTTAGAAATTCACCCCAAGTGTGGTGTATTTATAATAAGTGGACATGCATGCATAAAATGTTGCAAGAATGAAATAGCAGATTCTGTTGACTTTTTTCATATGTAACACTCAGATTTCCAGCAGGTCTTTTTCATGTAACCCCTTATGGTTGTTCTTTCTGTTTGCCTTTCCTTTTTAAGTGAAAAATTTTGGTGCTTTCTTTTTATGTTGTTGTAATAGATTGTAACATAAGGTTCCATGTCAAATACCATTTGGGAAAAAAAAAAAAAAAAAATGATTCTTTCTTTAAGTAACATGTGCAAGTGTTTACATATATATACCTGCTTCCAATGCTTGCATAAAGAGTGCATATTATTCTATCTTCTTCATCTGAAAATTCTCCATGCTTTATATTAGGTCTCAAATAATTAAGCCACCTCAATCTGCAGCTCTTTCCACATCTTTTCAGACCTGTGCATTTCAGACCAATTATATTGAGTTATTGGCAAAACTACATTAGTTGAAATCAAAACACACAAGAATTTAACTTTCTATTGTTTTCTTTTTGTTTTTGTCTAAATGTTTTGTTAATTTATTTACCGGCTTTTTGAGGCAAAGCAATCCAATTCCCACCGGTGCCGAATTTCTCGATGAATTCTTTAAGCTTTGCATCTTCTTCAGGAGACCATGGCCCTTTCTTGACATTAGCCTTGTCACAACAAGGAGCTCTTCCCATTTTTCTATCTGTGAATATCTTTCTGTGTTTATTCTTTGTGCATTTGTCTTTGATATATGCAGCTGTTTGACAGAGAGAGATAGAGAGAGAGGAAAATTGAAACTGGTTGGCTATCTTATTTATCTCTCTCTAATAATTTGACTTTCACATGTGTTGTGGGCTGCTGTGTATGGGGACTTTTTATTGAGGGAGTTTGGTTAATGAAGAAACAGTTAAACAAAGTCATTAGTATAATCATATGAAGCTACTGTACAAGTCGAAGGAGCAATGGCAAAGTCCATGTATGCATAGGCCCTATTATTTTAAGTTACTGGCTGATCTAGGAAGTTGGATGGTACAAGTTTCCACCACAGGTTCCATTAAAGTAAATTAAGTTT